CCAACTTAAGCTGCTCACAGCACCAATGAACCTGACACTAGGGTGAACTAGTCACCTCAGGGGGAGGAAAAGCAGAGATCTAACAGAACCTTAAAAAGCAGACCACCTGAGAAAACTGTACTTAACCATACGTGGAAAGGGGATCACTAGGCCTCACTGTCCACTATGAAGACCCAATAGCAGTGAGTTTCAGGTGTGACACACACTGGACCCAACCCCCTAGGCACCACCAACCACAGCACCCCACCTTAAAAAGGAGGCTCAGTCACTGGGGTCTGGGCTAGAGGCACAGCACAGGAAAACCACTGATCCTTACCAATCATCCCCATCACAGGGTCCCCCCAACCCTAAACCCAAAAAGCCACCTTGTTAATTAGCCTTTTTATTGTTTTTTTTGTTTTGTTTTAATTGAAGGTCCCTTACTGGTCCTGCTTCCATGAGTGGCCGAGAACAAGGGGAAGGGGAGGCAACCAGCTGGCGAGGGAGGGTCATTTCCACATTTCATTTACACACAGAACTAAACAGACAAGCACAGAGTCACTATTGTGGTTAGAAGTTGGCAGCATGGGATGGGGGGGGATGAGGAGTAGGGGCGTCGTTAAAAAAAAAAAAAAGCAGGCTCCCCCCAAACTGGGTGCCTGGGAAGGGACTTGGTCTGCTTCAACCCAAGAGGAATCAGAAGATAAAAGCAGTTTGGGAAGGCCAGAACCGTCAGGGTGGAGGGAGGAGGACGGTCCAGGGGGTGGGGGGGACATTTGGCAACTGGGGTGAAGGGATTACCCTCCCCCTGCTGGGATCCCCCCAGCCCCTCCGGTCTGGCAGGAAAGGGGCAGCCTGCAACACCCATGAGCAGGTCTGGGGCTGCTGGATGCTCCAGGCAGGGGCTGGAGGCGGCTCACAAAGGCTTGCCCTCCAGAGAGATCACAGCGCTGCCACCTAGTTTTTCTGCCAGGGTGCAGCGGTCCTTGACCTCCTCGTAGCAGTTGGCTTGCAATTCATGCTTGATTCCTGAAGAGAAAGAACAGTGAGCAGGAAGCACGGGGTGGGGAGTGTGTGTCTGGGAAGCAGCCATCAGAGCAGATGGAAGGAACAAGGTACCACCCAGGCAGGAGAACGGAGGCCCCGTTATTGTCATCTATCCCACACAGCAGTCGTGACTCACAGAAGGGCGTACAAAGAAGGGACCCTTACCTGTCAGCTTCTTCTTGATGGCATCCTTGGAGCTGGCATAGATCATTTTGCTCTTAAGGGGTGCACTCTCAGGGGCCCTGAAGACAAAGCAGGAAACTGCTGCAGCTACCCCAGGCAACAGATGACTCAAGAAAGAGAAACCCCCAGGATGCTCAACAGAGCATGGCCCTCATTAATTTTGTTACAACCCTGACCCCCAAACCTAGGCTGATTTCTGCTAAGCTCTTTCAAGAAAGGGAAGAGGTAGCAGGCAGGAGAGCTTGAACAAGGAGCTCACCAGAAGATGAACACCAGGTCCTCCTTCTTGCTCTCCTTGGTCTCGTAGGTTGCATCATAGAGAGCATAGCGGCAGTCCTTGTCTGGCAGCATCTTGACAAAAGTGGTGTAGGGGTCGTCCACAGTCTGCCCCACATCTCCTACCAGGATCTCCTTGCCCTCCTCCAGGATGATGTTCTTCTTGTCCTCACTCAGGCAGAAGAGCACTGCCTTCTTACGTTTCTTCACTTCTTCTGGCGTTGAAGACTTGCGCACTTTCATGTCATTGAACACCTTGATGACACCATCGGAGACAGCCACACCAGAGGCCTGAGGGACAAGCCAAATAATACACCTTGTAAGGGAAAGGATTCTGGGGTATTCTCTCCACTTACAGGAAACCTCAGCCAGGTACACTCTCAGTCACAGAAAACTAGTAATGTCCCTGCAGACACAAGATGCGGTGCCCCCTCCATACAATTCATCTTCTAAGGACTAGTTGGGACAAACCCCTTGCAAGGGAGAGAGCCAACGATCTATTTCAACTCTCCCATTAAAGGTTAGAAACGGTATTTGTTAAAAAGAAAACATAAGCAGGAATGGTGGAACATTTCTTTCCCTGAGTTCCAGGACAGTCGGGGTATCACAGAAACCCTGTCTCTAAAAAAAACAAACAAAAGAAAACAAGCCTTTGCTAAGTCACGAACACCAAATTCAAAGAATCTGAAGGTTATTGATTGGGTTGACACCACTCAGTCTCTAGATTAAAATGACAACTTAGGGCAGATACAAAAGGGAGACCGAGCACCTGGGACATAGACTCATCTTCGAGAAAGACGGGAAGAAAACTTCACAAAGACACCAAGAGCTGCTCAACAGTTCATTAAGTCCACCAGAGCCTTCAATACAGTCATCGCATAAACGACACTTCCCCGCCAAGATCTCCCAAACACGAGAATTACAACCCCCAATTAGGGCCCTGGTGGGCAACTCCCTATTACCGAAGAGCGGTGAAGAGCCCTAAAGATCACTGACAAATTAATAGGTCAAGCTGTAGTGCCCCAAATCGTCAAAAACTTTCTACTTTGTATGGCCTTGGGGGACGACCCAATCAGAAATCTGTAACCAACCCCCCAACCATGGAACTGCAGAGGAAGCTAGCCACGTGATTCACCCGCTTCCGGAGTAGGCGGGGAAAGGAGATTGGGTTAGGCTCAGGGCCTCCCCAAGAGACACTCCGAACCTACGGTGTCTCAAAAAGCACAAGAATCGCCTTTAGGAATAGGCGTGAGCCCCGCCAGCTTTGAGAGGTAGAACGGGCTATTCACACAAGCATCAGTTTTCCAGGCCCTCAGGCTGAACATAAGAGCTGGGTGGCTTCCGGGCGGTACCCGCCTGGGTCACTTCCCTAAACGCGGCTCCACCCTCGGCCCCATCCGGCAAGGGCCTAGTTCGTCCAAAGCTGCAGCCGGGATGGCAGGGCCCAAGCATGTGCGCACGCGCTGGTGCACAGCGCCGTTCCAGCCCTAGCCCCAAGTCCAGTGAACAGAGAAGGCAGTGTGTAATCGCTCTTTCTAGAACAGGGGCTGAAGGACTCACTCCGCGACTAGCGGTGCAAGGTCCTAGTCTCGGGAGCCAGGGCCTCAACCGGGTCCACGAAGCCCTAGCATCCCCCAAGAGCCCAGATGCCCCCGCCCCTTCCAGACGGCGGCATCCCTGCCACCTGCTGTGGCGACAAACCCATCCGCAGAGGGAGGGTGATGAGAGGGAAGGAACAGCTCTTGGGTGGGGCGCGCGCAGACATCTCGCGCGCGCTTTTCCCTAGCGGCCCCGGGGCAGGGTTTGGATGCCGCGTGCTCTGGTCCAGCGCGCGCCATCAGGAACCGGCGAGCGTTGCCCGAGGCTGGGCACCCTGGACCCCTCCCCCACGGCCAGTGTCCGCGCGGGCGCAAAAGCGGGATGGGGGAGGGGAAGGGAGCCAGGGGGCGCGCGAGCGACGTCCGAATCGGCCCTTCCCAGCGCCCACGGGCGCGCACGCGCGGCCTGCCCTTCAATGCAAGACCCTTAATCTCGCTCGGGGCGCTGGGGGAGGGGACACCGAGAACGCTTCTCCGCCGCCCCCACCCCACCCGGCGCGCAAGCGACTGACCACGAAACCGCCTCCCTCGGGCACAGTGGCCTAGCGCTCACCATGTTTCCGGAAGCGAAAGGGAGACAGGGAGAGCTACAGAAGAACTGAGGCGCCGCAGCTGCTGCCGGGATCCGACTGAACGCGGCCTCTCCCGGCCCCTTCCGTTTAGTAGGATCCGCACAATGAGGGGCGGGGCGGGCTTCCGGCGCTCGCCGCGCGGGCCGACGGGAAATGAAGTCCAAGGATTTTGCACCGCAGAGGCGCTACTTGCGCCTGGGTTCCGCAGAGCCTGGGGCGCGGGGGAGTAGGCGGAGGCCAAGAGGCGGGGCTGCTGCACGCAGAGTGAGCCCATTGGTGCGGTGGACCAGGAAACGCTTGGCTGAGCAAGAGGCCCATGGCTGGATAAGATGGCCTGAAAATAGTTAGGTCCCGAGTCTCTTTCTTTCCCAAAGTGAAGTGGCTTTCCGTTATTTATGGTTCCCGATGATCAAGATTTTTACTTTTCTGAACCACTGGCTTGGAATCAGCTGCCAAAGAATGTCAAGTATAACGGTGTCTTCAAGCCAGCAGACATGTGGAAAGGCACTGTTGTCTCCTCAGAGGCTGGATGAAATTTCAACAAAGAATAGAATTTTAACAAGGGGGAAATGCTACAATAAACAGTTTAAGAGCAAGCCGGGCAGTGGTGGCCCACGCGTTTAAGCCCAGCACTCAGGAGGCAGAGGCAGCCGGGTCTCTGAGTTCGAGGCCAGCCTGGGCTACAGAGTGAGTTCCGGGACAGCCAGGGCTGTTACAGAGAAACCTCCCTGTCTCAAAAAAAAAAAAAAAAAAGAAAGTTCGAGAGTTTTGGTTTTGTTTAAAGACATTTGACAAATTCTTGGGTCAAATATAATTAATTCATGGGGGAAGGGTGGAGAGTTGTGCATTAAAGACTTCTTTACATTTCCTTTACCAGGCGATAAGAAAAGGAATAGTTATTTGAACTTAGCTCTCACGTCGATAGGTTTATGGTTATTTTAACAAAAACTGAGACAATCTATGGGAGCAAGAGCTTAAAATAAACTGGGCTGGGGACTCCAGGAACATTTCTTTGACCTCGGACAATGATCATGGCCTCACACTGCAGGAAAAGAGGGCAAGGTGGCAAGCAGGTTAGAGGCAAACGAAACTGGGGCCCTTGACCTCCCCTTAAGTCGAATAAAGGGTGTAAATACGCTGCAACCCCGGGAACGAGGCGACTCGCAGAGCATGCCGGGGATTGTAGTCAGAGGCTCCCGCGGCCCTCAGGCTTTACTGCTGAGTTCCAGGTGGCGGCCGAAGCTGGAACCCCCTCTCCCAAGTGCCCCGCCTGAAGAATTGGCTAGCTCCACCTTTTTCGAGCCTCGCGGTTTCCCGAGCAACGGGGGAGGGGCTCCGCAGTTACCCTGGAGACGCACTCCTTCCGCCCCCGGCCGCGGGATGCCCTAGATGTCCTTATTAGGGAATGAGACTCCAGAGGGCGTGCCCAGCCCGAGCGCCAGCTTCAGGCTCCTTATAAGGCTGCCTGAGGAAGGAGGAGGGCGCGGAAAGCTAGCCTGAGAAGAGGGTCGGCCAGTGAGGTGGCCGACGACTTCCGGCATGACAGCTGGAGATCTTGAACTGTTGCAATCCCTGAACACAGAGACCCCTGTGTTTTATTGACCCTTGTGTCCCTCAACCTGAGATATCCGTCCCCGCCACCACCACCCCCCGCAAAGTGCCCACCTTCAACCTCCGAGAGCCTCCTCCACTTTCAGTGAACCACAAGAGCTTCAAGACCCAACCATGTGCCCACATTCGACCTCTCCACCTGCCAGGATGCACCTCATACCACACACACCTCCCGTTCCCTTAGCCTGAGCCTCTGTGTTCGTCCCCGACATTGCACCCTCACATTTCGAGATCGCTCTGCTACTCCTGCCTTACCTTTATTTCATCCCTTGTACCCCTTCATAGATGTCCCAACCACAGAGACTCTTGCACTTGTGTCCCGCCCTCTCCCCCACTTTTCTCAAGCCCCCTTTTTCCAGCCTCTTCTACAATCCCCTGGAAATAGCCTTATGAGACCTTGGAGCAAGCCAAGTTCAGGCTACGCGTCTCCCCAGCCAGCCCTCCCGGTCACAGGGGGCGCTGTCCGTCTTTTTCATTGTCAGCACAAAATGATCCTGCTCTCGAATTTTGGGGTGAGAGGAAGGGGCGGGTCAAAGCTCTGCAGCCTGGGTGGGGCTCGTCCAAAGGGCTGACGCTGGCGGGTCATGGGGGCGGTTCTAAGGAAAGGTGGTACAGACCTAACCTCCCTGCAGCCTCCTGCTGTGTAGTCCAAAGCGGGGGAGGGGGCATTCCTTCAGCTGGGTTGGAGAGGTCCCACCCTCAATCAGGTGTTCCTATACCAACTGCAGAACTGTCGGGGTTCTAGTCTCAGGGGTTTCTTTTGAGGCTCCAAAAGAGCCAATCTAGATCTTATGGCAGCACCGGTCCGCCTGGGCCGGAAGCGCCCACTGCCGGTTTGCCCCAACCCACTCTTCGTTCGTTGGCTGACCGAGTGGCGGGACGAGGCAGCCAGCAGAGGGCGCCACACGCGCTTTGTGTTTCAAAAGGTGAGTCCCAGCTGGGTCTTCTGGAGACGGAGCCAGATGGTCCAGGTATCCAGGCTTGATGAGTTCCTTTCTCCCTTTTGCTCGCCAGGCACTGCGCTCCCTCCGACGGTACCCCTTACCTCTGCGCAGCGGGAAGGAAGCCAAGATCCTTCAGCACTTCGGAGACAGGCTCTGCCGGATGCTGGACGAGCGGCTAGAGCAGCACCTAGCTTCAGGCGGTGAGCGCCTCGGGGAGTTAATGACCCCCTAAACTTCCTGGGTGCAGGCTGTGTCTACCTTGAATACCTTAGCTTCAAATTCCCCACTCTCAAGTAGTTGCTGTTGGACCCAGGGCTAGTGATTGACGCTCTGTTAACCTCGTAGTTCTCACGTACAAAGCTAGCCGACTGATAAGTGGTGGGTGGCGTTGTGAAATAAGTCTGTAACCCCAGCATTTAGGAGGTGGGGGTAAGAGGATCAGGAGTTCAAGGGTAGCCTGGGCTACTTGAGACTGTCCCAAAAAATGACAAGGGGTTAGGCATGGTGATGCATGCTTTTAATCCCAACACTCAGAGGAGGCAAATGCAGGAGGATCTTGATGAGTTCGAGGCCAGTTAGAGCTTCACCCAATGAGACCCCGTCTCAAGACCAAAACCCCAGTTCCAGAGGATCCACCCCCACTTCTGGCCTCTTCTAGCGTTGCATTCAAGTGATGCATAGACATACAGACAGGCAAAACACTCATACACATGTAATAAAACAGAAATGGTTTAAATACGACACCAATTCACAAAGTGAGCCGAAGCATCAAGGCCCCTCCTGGCATCCGAGTGGGGTGCAGGACTGACTTTCCTCTGTCCTCTGCAGGTGACCATGCCCCCAGCCTACCATCTGGAGAGAAGAATCAAGCCAGTGAACAGCCACCTGCTCAAGTCCAGGACTCCTCAATGCCAGTGAGGATTGGGAAAGGAAGTAGAAAGCTAAATGGGAGGGCTGAGAGTAGACTTCTTGGTCTGAGGGATTGAACAGCCCTGTGTCCAGCTCTTACTGATTTAGGCTGGCCTGGGACAGTCTCCTGCTCTCTTTAAGAGACACTATCTTAATTTGAGACAGCTGTAGATGGAGTTCCAGAGGAAGCTGCTAAGTGATCCGGTTCAGAAAGCTGTGGGATTTCTACAGTGACTTTGTTCTCCAGTTGTGGAGGCTGGAGGCTGGGCCTAACACACACACCCAACCCTTGCCCCTGCTCCTGCCACGGTCACATTCCAGATTCACAGGGCTTTGTAGCATCTCCCTCTCCAGGCCCATGTAGCCTGCTGAGACCTCAGCTGACACTTACAAACACTTGAATTCAGGGCCCTGCTGTCTCTCAGGTTCCCACCCAGCCTCAAGCAGGAAGCACTGGTGGCTATTGGCCAGCCCAGAACTCAGGTGCCCGTGTGGTCCTGCTGCAGCTCTATAGGGAACACCTGGTAAGTGTCTCCCCAAGTCGGTTGTGTGGGGGAGGCCCACTCACAGGTGCCTTGGCAGTGGTCCTGATGGCTACTCCGTATCAGGTTGAGGAAATCTGCCCTGAACCTACCATCTTTCTACCATGCTTTCAGAATCCTGATGGCCACAGCTTCCTTACCAAGGAGGAGCTGCTGCAGAAATGTGCCCAGAAGGCCCCCAGGGTGAGCATCCAGCTGAGAATGGGCAGGGAGAGACCACTGCGGTCTTCCTTCATGGCAGGCAGCCTTGGTATGAAACCTGATCCAATGATGGCATATGGCTAGCGGCACAGGAAGTTTAGGTGTGGGAGAACTAGGGCCTCTCTGAGGGTCTCCTTTCCTTTTCACAGGTAGTTCCTGGAAGTTCGAGACCCTGGCCTGCCCTCCGAGGCCTCCTCCACAGGAACCTGGTCCTCAGAACACATCGGCCATCCAGGTGTGGGCAAGCTGCAGGGAGCACTGGAGGCAGGGATGGAGCACATGCAGGAGTTAGGCCCTTCTTAGGCTCTGTAATTACGGAGCAAATCTCAGACCTGGTGCTGTGAGGCTGAGGCAGGCCAGCCTTCCCACTGAGAGCCTGAGGTTGGAGGACCTGGAAAGTATGAGCAGCTGAGGGGAAGGATGAAAGGTCTGGTATCAGAGCAGGGAGCTGCGCAAACATTTGACATGTCTTAAAATTTGGCCCATTAGAGATGCCAGAATATTCTAGGGAGGAGAGTGTGGAGCTGAGTGAAAATAGGGGGGCGGAGTTGTGAGGCCTTAGGAGGTCCTGAGGAAGCTGAGCTGAGGGACAGGGAGGAAGAGGACGTGGGGAGCCACTGAACTTATACCAAGGAGGGTAAAGCTCACCTAGCTTGGGGCAGCAGAGCTTGCCAGGTATAGAGGATAAAACTGGCTTCTCCACCTCCCAGGTACGCACTGACACCAGAGGGCCTGGAGCTGGCCCAAAAGCTGGCCCAGGCAGAAGGCCTGAGCCCTCTGAACATTGGCATCAGGCCAGAGGAGCCCCGTGGAGAGGAGTCAGCAGCCCCAAAAGCCGCCATGTTGGAACCGTAAGGAAGGAAGGGAAAGTGGGGGCAGCCATGTCTCAGGGAGCGCTAACTGTTGAGCCACAGTCGCCTGTGAGCTGTGGGGGACTACCCTGGCACTGAGGGTTCTGGCCTTATGCACAGCCCCCATCCCCTCACAGTGGCACCAGTGAAGGTGGCATCCAGCAGCCACCCCTGGAGCTGAGGCCCGGTGAGTACCGAGTGCTGCTGTGTGTGGACACTGGAGAGACCAGAGGGTGAGTGACGTGGGGGCAGCCGCGAGAACAGCTGGAGGGTGCTGGAGGGTGCCGAAGGGTGGAGAGCACAGGCTTGCCCTGACCTGGGCCTCCTTTCTTGAAATACTAGGGCAGGACACAGGCCAGAAATGCTCCGAGAGTTACAGCGGCTGCGTGTGCCCCACACAGTACGGAAGCTGCACGTTGGGGACTTTGTGTGGGTGGCACAGGAGACCAGGCCCGGAGACCCAGGTAAAGGGTCATGGGCAGGCATTGGAGGCCGCCGTGGGTGGGTTGGGGGAAGACAGAAAGACTCTTCTTTTTTTTATATAATTCATTTAACTTTATTTTATGTGCGTTGGTATGAAGGTGTCAGATCCCCTGGAACTGGAGTTAGAGACAGTTGTGAGCTGCTATGTGGGTGGTGGGAATTGAACCCGGGTCCTCTGGGACAGCAGCCAGTAGTACTCTTAACCACTGAGCCATCTCCAGCCCCGACAATAAGACTCTTTTTGACTTCTTGGCAGCAAGACCTGGGGAGTTAGTCTTGGACCACATTGTGGAACGCAAGCGGCTGGATGACCTCTGTAGCAGCATCATTGATGGTCGTTTTCGAGAGCAGAAGGTGCCGTAGCCTGCTCACTCCTTACCTCAGCCTAGACAAAGCTGTTGGGTGTCTCAAAGCGGAGCGCCAGAGGCCTCCAGCCATTCCCATTTTGAGCCCCCTTTAAGCCATGCAGGTACACAGTAGGAACGCAAGGTTTGCTAGGCTGGCCTGAGAAACTTAAAGACGCCTTGAGTACCTATCCCTGGAGATCTCAGATAAACAAGAGGCAGACCTCTAGGATTGGAAATGCAGAAGCAGCGGGGCTCACCTAGGGTCACAGAGGCTAATAACAGGCCAAGGGTGGCTCGGAGGACGTGTATTGTTCAGAGGTTCACGGCCTTCCTACAGCAGTCATAGCAAGAGCCTGTGTAGAGTGTGGAGGCTCCTCTAAGACAGGCAAGGAGCCAGGAGACTGTAGGATCAGGGTCTCCTTCACACACACACACACACACACACACACACACACACACACACACGATTTGTGATATATAATTTATTTTATGGTGCATTGCCTGCATGTGTGTCTGTGCAAGGGTAAGGGTGTCAGATCTTAAGAGTTACAGACAGTTGTGAGCTGCCATGTGAACTGCCATGCTGGGAATTGAACCTGGGTCCTCTAGAAGAGTAGTCAGTGTTGTTAACCACTGAGCCATCTCTCCAACCCTGTCTCCTTGTAATCTTAATGTGATATGACGGCCAGCCCAGACTTGTAGGCATTCGGGCCTGACCCACCCTGCTTCTGCCTGCCTTCCCAGTTCCGCCTGAAGCGCTGTGGCCTGGGACACCGGGTATACTTGGTGGAGGAATATGGGTCTGTCCACAACCTCAGCCTTCCTGAGAGTACCTTGCTGCAGGCTGTCACAAACACCCAGGTGAGCTGGAAGGGCGGGGAGGGGCAGGCTGGCAGATTGTGTAGTCCATGGATTAGGCCAGGAGCCACCTCCCTTGGGTGCTCTTCTCCAGGTCATCGATGGCTTCTTTGTGAAGCGTACCATGGATATTAAGGAGTCAGCTGGCTACCTGGCCCTTTTGACAAAGGGCCTAGAAAGACTTTATCAGGTGAGCAGATGCCTCCGACCAGCACTGGGCCCTCACCTGGTCTTTGCTGCCCAAGCGAGGAAAGGTGGGTGAGATCCTGGTTTCTCAGGTTTCCCACTGAGGCCCAGGAAAGGAACAGCTGGGGGTTAACCCTTAGAGCCTCCCCTAGCCTCAGTCCCCTCTTCTATCAGGGCCACACCCTACGCAGCCGCCCCTGGGAAACCCCAGGGGATGCTGAATCGGGAACAAGACCTTCCGCAAATCCTCTCTGCTCACTCCTCACCTTCAGTGACTTCAATGCAGAAGCTGTCAAGAACAAGGTACCACCCTTGCCTTGCCTCTGCTTAGGTGACCTGGTCCCAGATCACCCCTAATATAGGCCACTCCCAACCCCAGGCCCAGTCTGTGCGAGAAGTATTTGCCCGGCAGCTGATGCAGGTGCGTGGACTGAGCGGGGAGAAGGCTGCGGCCCTGGTGGATCGGTACAGCACACCTGCCAGGTACACCCCAGAGAGCCGCTGGGTTCCTGTCCTTCCTGGGTGGAGGTCAGCTTCACCAGTGCTTCTGGAGAAGCTTGGCTCTGTGTGGGAGCCTTGGAAGGTTCTGTCCCAGCGTTTCCCAGGAAGGGGGAGGGCAGGCAGGATGAAGGGGGCCTCTATCACCAGGATCAGGAAACGTGCAGTGTTCAGATTCCTCCACTCTAGGCTGAACCCTGCCTGCCTTAGCTCTCATGATGCTGGCCCAGAGAGTCAGCCATTGTATGCCCTACCCCCAGTCTCCTGGCTGCCTATGACGCCTGTGCCTCCCCGAAGGAGCAGGAGATGCTGTTGAGCACTGTCAAGTGTGGGCGTCTGCAGAGGTAAGGGTAAGACAACCTGGAGAGAAGACGGGGTGGCCCGAGGCACTGGGCCAACCTTCCGATTCTCTTCTTGCAGAAATCTGGGGCCCGCTCTGAGCAGAACCCTGTTCCAGCTGTACTGCAGTCCCAGCCCCCTGACCTGAGCCACCCCCGAAGACACACCCCAGCACCCATGTCTGTCTCTGTGCAGGCTAGTCAGCCTTTTAACTGGGATCCTTTGGGCTAGAATAAAAATCTAAACGTTTGTGGTCTTAGGAGTTAAGGAAACAATGCCAAGGGCCTTATGAAATATGCAGGGACTGGGAGACTACACCTGCAAGCCTGTGGCTTTTGTTTTGTGGTATTGATGGTGGGACCCACAGCCTCATGCATGCTAGGCAATTCCTCTTCCACACAGCAATGAGCTGCAACCTTGCAGTGTTTCCCTACCCCCTCTTAAAACCCAGGCTGGCCTGGAATTCCCAGGCTTCCCAGGCCCACCTTCCAAGTCCTGAAGTTAAAGGTGTGGACCACTATGCCTGGTCTGTATTGTTCTTTTTTTTTTTTTAAGGCAAGCTCCTGGCTAAACATAGTTGTACACAGTTATAACAAGCACTTAATTTGTGTTAGCCCAGACCCTATGCAAAAATGAATCGATAATGCTGCTTAGGTGTTGGGCATTCCCTGGTCAAGGAGATGGAGTCAGTGGGGCACTGTATCTTTGAGTGTAACTAAGTGACCCCCGATCAAATAAGTTTCTTTGACAAAAGGCACCACAACTTGGGATAGAAGGGTGTTCTCAGTCCAGGTACCTCATTTTGGTGATTGGAGAACAATAGGGTTCATCCAAATGTGCAGTCTGGGGTAAGGCTAGGATGGTAACCCCAGACCTCCTGGCCCTGACCTGAACATGGTTTCTGGGGCCTAGCCTCAGCCAAGCTCTGAGTTAAAGCCTGAAGTGTACACTCCTTAGAACTCCCTGCTCAGGGTGATTATGAAGGATGACTCTTGGCTCTGGAACCTTCTCAGCCTGAATGCAGAGAGGACCCTTGGGGTGAAATTTGCCTGCTGCTTTCACAAGCCCGGCCCCTTCCCAGGCTGAGGTTACTCACCCACCTTGGCCACTAGGACTCCTTTCTCCCTTTATTGTCCTTCACGTCATTGTCTCTTTAAGCAGAACAGTCACCCCTAAACCCCAGGCTCCTTAAGCTATGGGAGGGAGAAAGAAAGGGGCCCCACCCAACCCTTCCCTGAGGGTCTCCTTCAGAAGGCGTAGGCTCCCACAAAGACGGTGAGTCTCAGTACGGAGCTGGCCCGGTAGCTCATAAGAGAGTTCATGGTGACCATCTCCAGGTCCAGCACATACTCCCGGGGTCCTGTCACTGGCCTGGCAAGAACCAGCATGGCACTGACATTGTTGATTTGCTGCAGAACATAGAGATTGTGTTAGCCTAGGAGCCAGGACCCTGCTCCAGCATCAACCCCCTGCCCTGTGGCCGTCAGGCTTGGAAACGGTCTGACCAGGTTGCTGCTCAAGTTCTCATCCACCTCTGACATTTCTCTTCCCCTCCGGTGCCCAAGTCCCTGCCCCTGGTTCTCCTCTGACCCTGTCCACCTCGATTTTCCTCCATGACTACCTGATGACTCAAGTTTTGGAAAGGATGGGCCTTTGGTGACATAGGCTGGCCCACTTCCCCCTTCAGAGTATTCAAGTCTCTGTCTCTGTCTGTCTGTCTGTCTGTCTGTCTGTCTGTCATGTTTTGGGGCTGGGGAAGGAACTACGAGCTAGAATGGTAAGCACATGTTCTGCCTTGGTGCTGGGCCACCAGTCCCAAAGCAGTTCTGAAAGGAGAAATAAGTTTTGATGCCAGACACCTCCATGCTGGAGACAGCATTAAGGAGCATGGGTTCAAGGTCCTCACACCTACACCAGCTGTCTTCCCTTGCCAGCCAAGCTGGAGTCTCTGATACCAGCCCTGCAGGAACTGTGTTTCCTGATTTCTGGGTAAGGATGTCAAAGCCAAAGGGGAGAAACCAATACTGGGACTCAAACCCCATTAATCACTAGAATTGCCTGGAAATGTAGAGATCTCTGACTTCCGACAGGAGCCCAGCTTCCTGGGGCAGCTCCCATTTAAATGGCTTGAGGCCTTCTATTTTCGATTAGTCAAGTCAACTGGGTGTCAGCAGAGAAGCACCTTACCCTGATGTAGAAGTCCCCTTGAGTGTTTCCAGCGCGGATCTGAAAGGCATTGTAGGCACCAGGGTAGACAGAGGTTGCCTGGATCTGAAACACATCCGCAGGCACACTTCGCTCCGAGGTGATGCTCATGTAGCGGTGTACAATGGATGACGGTTGTTCTCGACACAGGGGGTTGGAGACAGGGCAGAGGCAGCGGCTAGAGATCCCAAGACATGATGGGAATGAGGGCCCATTTCCCAGATACCCACCTCCTAAAGAGGAAAACCCAAGCATGGAAGACTATAACTCCCATGAGACATCATGGGGACTCACCAGCCTGATTAAACCAGTTAGCCCCCACAGACCTCTGGGAATGGTAGTTACCGCTGGAAACTGCCATCAGGTTGACTCACTTGTCCGACACTTGGACATAGGGCTCCACACAACGGTTGGTGTCCACGCAGCGGTAGCCCCCATGGAAGTTCACACAGGTTTGGGACTCAGAACACTGGTGTGCACCTGATTCACACTCGTCAATGTCTGTGCCAGGGGAGGTGAGGTTGGACTCTGGGACTGAGAGTAAGGCTACCAGACTAAAAGCCCACCCACCGGAAGCACCCGTACCTTGGCAGAGCCTCGTGGCCAGCAGCTGGTAGCCTTGTGGGCAGTGACAGGAGAAGCGGCCTGGCTCGTTGACACAGCGATACTGGCAGAGGTAACTGGAGTAGCTGCACTCATCGATATCTGAGGGAGGGTGGGGATGAGGACCCTGGGCCAAAGGCAGTCTGCACAGCTGAGTGCCACAGACACTGAGAGAGCCCAGCCCCCCATAAGGCTGATGTGGGAAGAGAGAAGGGGTGAGATAACCCAGTAATGCTCACGGGGGGACTGACTGTTTCAAAGGAGGTCAGAGGGGCTGGGGATGTAACTCAGTGGTAGAGTACTTGCCTAACACGCTGGAGGCGCTACGTTCCATCCCAGCACAGAAAGGGAGAGGAAAGAGAAAAGAAAGAAGACAGACTTGGCATGTTGCTGAATGTCTATAATCCCAGCACTTGGGAGGCAAAGGCAGGAGGATTATATCAAGTTCAAGGCCAGCTTGTCCACACAGGGAGTCCAGCCAGGATTATATGGAAAGTTCAAGGCCAGCCAGGGCTACATAATAAAATCCTGCCTCAAAAAACAAATGGGGTGCTGGGCGGTGGTGGCGCACACCTTTAATCCCAGCACTTGGGAGGCAGAACCAGGCAGATCTCTGAGTTCGAGGCCAGCCTGGTCTACAAAGCAAGTTCCAGGTCAGGCTCCAAAGCTACACAGAGAAACCCTGTCTCGAAAAAACAAAACAAATGGGGTGTGCAAAACTTGGGAGGCAGAGGCAATCATATCTGTTTGAGGCCAGCCTGGTCTACATAAGAGACTCTAGGCCAGCCAAGGCTACAGAGTTGAGACCCTGTCTCAAAACAAGAACAAGCAGACCTTTCAGCTCACAAGGGGACTCTTTCCCAGGACTTTAAGAATATTTAAGAAACAATGCACCAGCCTAACATGGTGGCCCATGCCTTTGATCCCAGCACTACTCAGCAGGTCTCTGTAGGCTAGCCTGGTCTATATAGAGAGCTTCAGGATAGCCAGGGTTATATAAACTCTGTATTAAAAGGCACCAGGACTCTAGAGGCTTGGGTCTAAGTCCTACTAAGTGGTTCTAGGAAAGGTCCATTTCCATGCCAGTCAAATGAGCGGGCTGGACTGGAGGAGCGCTCCAGGCTAACCTGCAATCTGCAGCCAGAATACCCGACTTCTGCGGCCTGTGCACGCCACATGCAGCACGCTGTCTCTTTGTTTTTGTTCTTTTCACACAACTGAGCATCAACGATACGTTTCACAGCAGAGCATAAAATAAATGGAGGGCATGCCAGGTAACATGGTGAGAGGCCTGGGGTCAAGCCCTGGCCCCATCTCATCTTTTCTGTCTGAACTTTGACAAATCACTTTCCTCTGTAAGTGGAAAGATGAAAGTCACCATTTTCTCTGGCCTTTCTGCTTGCTTTTTTACAATCCTGTCAACACACCTGGAGGAATATTAGTGTTTGCAAAAATAAACCATCATTGACCAGATTCAATGAGACTGAGCATGCAAGTTATAAACAAGTGGGTGTCCCACTTTTGCTGCCTGAGTTGACAAAGCCTATTATCATGGTCCCTCTCCGTATTCCAAATAACCTGTTTACGGTAGAAATGTGCCCAGAAAGAAGAGAGATGTGTCCTAGTGCAGGATTCCAGTGTAAGTCAACTCAACTTCCAGGAAGACGGGCACTCACATCCTTCCCTGTCTCCCCAACAAGCTTCAGTAGGGCCTAACAACCCATCCCCACCAAGATGGGAGTGCCCAGCAACCAGCTCCGGATGGAGGACATGGAGGTCTGTAGGTGCAGAGAATGAGACATGGAAGCCTCAGGCAAATGACTATGTGCCTGGAGTTGGGCCATTACGTTGCAAGTCCTGGGGGACCAATGCACTACCCGGTAGCACACGCGGACTCTCACCACTGCAGGAGAAGCCATCCCGGTGCAGCTCATAGCCTTGGTTACAACGACACAGGAAGGTCCCATAGGAGTTGAAGCAGCGTTGCTCACATGGGGCTCCCATGTCACACTCATTCACATCTGCGGGTGCCAGAGAAAACAGGTAAAAGCAGAGGCAGAACCCAGAACCCACACGCACACTCGGGCTCAGGAAGGAGATCCCGCCCCCATCCCACACATCTCTGCCCAGGACCCCAGAGCCTCACCCACACAAGAGCGGTTGTTAGGTCCCAGCTGGAATCCTGGCTCACACTGGCAGCGAAAGGAGCCTGGCAGGTTCACACACCGGTGCTGGCAATAGCGGTAGCGACACTCGTCTATGTCTGGGAGGGAGGCAGGGGAGGAGAGCAGGGCACGAGTCAGGCGGGGCCTGAGCAGCGAGGCGGAAGCCTCTGCAGCCCTGCTCAGCTTGCCGGAGAGCTGAGTTGAGCCACCCACACTGCGTCTTCTGTGTCTGGTGACAGGAGGGCACCAGTAGCAGAAGACTGGGACAAAGATAAG